ATACAAATTTTTAAAAAAGCTTAACGGGGGGGTGGGGGTGGGGCCGGGGAGGACCCAGTTATGCCTGGTTCCAAAGTTTTAAACAAAAAACAGCCGTGGCTATTATGTGTAGTGCTTACTGTATGCCAGGCACCACCCTCGGTCTCTGGTGTGTGGTATTCAAAAAGCCATCTCGCCCTAGCTGGTTTGGCTCAGTGGACAGAGCATCAGCCTGCAGACCAAAGAGTCCTGGGTTCAATTCCAGTCAAGGGCATGTACCTCGGATGCAGACTCCTCCTCGGCTTGGGTCCGGTTAGGGTCATGCAGGAGCCAACCAATCAGTGTGTTCCTCTCACATAGATATTTCTCTCTTCCCCTCTCTCTAAAAATCAATGGAAAACTATCCTCAGGTGAGGATTAAAAAACAACCACCCACCTCTTGCTTGGACTGCTGAGATGGCTCCTCAGAGTTCTCCCTGCTTCCTCTCTCGTCCCCTACCTCAGTCTACTCCTACACTACCAAGATCGAGCCCCTCTTCTATTCAACCCCGACCCTACAGGCTCCCCATCCAACGGCCTCCAAACACATTCAAAATAAAATTCAAAGTCCTGCCACAGCAAACAAGGCCTGCCCGATCTGGCCCAGGCCCACCTCTCCCATACCACCTCCTTCTCTCTCCCCCTGCTTGTCCTACCTACTCCAGCACTGCTGGCCTTTATATACATATATTTTTTAATTGATTTTTTAAAGAGAGAAAGGGGATAGAGAGTTAGAAACATCGATGAGAGAGAAACATCAATCAGCTGCCTCCTATACAACCAAGGTACATGCCCTTGACCGGAATCGAACCTGGGACCCTTCAGTCCACGGGCCGACGCTCTATCCACTGAGCCAAACCAGTTTCGGCGCTGCTGGCCTTCTTGATTCTCAAACACACCAGACCAGTGGTCGGCAAACCACGGCTCGCGAGCCACATGCGGCTTTTTGGCCCCTTGAGTGTGGCTCTTCCACAAAATACCACATGCGAGCACGCACGTACAGTGCGACAGTCTCCTACCTCAGGGCCTCTGCACCTGCCATTTTCACTGCCTGGGATGCTCTTCTCTCTGCCTTGCATGGCTGACTCCTGCTTGTCAACCAAATCTTGGCTCAAAAATGTCACCTCTGCCTGGCTGGTGTGGCTCAATGGTTGAGTATCCACCTATGAACCAGGAGCTCACTGTTCAGTGTGCCCTGACCAGGTTGCAGGCTCAATCCCCAACATGGGACATGCAGGAGGCAGCCTATCCACGATTCTCTCTCATTGATGTTTCTATCTCTTTCTCTCTCTAAAATCAATTAAAAAAAATTTTTTTTAAAAAAGAAACAATACCCATGGGCTTTAGCAAGATCACACTGGGCAAGTCTTGGCCATGGGTGAGGTTGCCCCCAGCCTGGGATCTTGGGAAGGACCTACAGTGAACACATATCCAACACCTGCTGCATCCCAGGAGCTGGGGGCAAAAACCAGGCAGTGCCCCCCTCTCCCCCACAGGACCCCTGGGTGGAAGGGGTGCCCATCCCCAGGGCTTGACAGAGACAGGACAGGAGGAGCCCAGTCTACCCTTAACCTTTGGTCTGCTCCTGGTTTATTTATTAAGCAACTGCTGTGAGCCCCTAAGGAAAAGAGGAAATCTCAGATGAAAACCGACACCAGGTGCTCTCGTGGGACCTCCGAGTGTCCCATTCGTCCAGACAAGTGCTGGCTTCGGAGGGAGCTGGGGAGCCCGGCCATCACAGGGCGGGCAGAGCACTGTCCTCGAGCATCTGCGTAAAAATCACGGGGGGCCCGTTCAAAATGCCAACCACAGAGACTGGCACGGGGGCTTCAGGCCCCGTTTTGAGAAACGCAAGGAGCGGAGGCCCAAATCCCTGCACGGGCCGAGTCGTCTTGGGCAACCCAGTTGACCACCCTGGGCCTCAGTTTCCTCATCCCGAAAATGGAGCCACGTTCGACTCCCAGGGCTGCACCGCGGTGAAAGGACACCCCGCACCGCGCCCGGCCCGCAGGCGGCGCAGGAAGGGACGTGCTGTTCGCGGTGACCGCGGGGAAGGGTCTCCTACCGCAGCTCTGCCCCGGGGAGCGAGGAGAAGCCCGCA